ACCTCAGCCCTGTCAGGTGACCTTTGATCTCTCACCCCCACAGAGCTCAAGGCAATTGTGACCCCGAGGCCCCGGTGACTGAAGGCACGCGATGCTGTCGTCAGGAGATGTACCTGGACCTGCAGGGGTTGAAGTGGGCCGAGAACTGGATCCTAGAACCCCCAGGTTTCCTGACTTACGAGTGTGTGGGCAGCTGCCTGCAGCCACCAGAGTCCCTGACCACGAGGTGGCCGTTTCTGGGGCCGAGGCAGTGCATTGCCTCCGAGATGACCTCCCTGCCCATGATTGTCAGCATCAAGGAGGGAGGCAGGACCAGGCCTCAGGTAGTCAGCCTGCCCAACATGAGGGTGCAGAAGTGCAGCTGTGCCTCGGATGGGGCGCTCATTCCCAGGAGGCTGGAGGAGCCATAGGCGCGGGTGTGGCCTCCCCAAGGATGCGACTTCAATGTATATCTGAAGTACCAGGAGAGAGGGGGATTCTGAATCCTTGCTATCTCCTAACCAGCCTCATCCCTAAATTTTACCTTCAAGGAATGTGACTCGCTGGCCACTAGAGGGCCCGACCTAGTCGTCTCTGTCCTTCATCTTGTTCACTGCACTGTATGCTAAGCACTTACATGTATAGTTACTGTAAGCTAAGGACAGAATTCCTAATGGTCATTGTTCCCTCAACCTGTCACTGGATCTTGACTGAGCCCCAGTCTTGACTCTGGACCTAAGACCCAAGTGTATCAAACATGCTAGATGTGAATAAAATGTTTTGTTTTGTAACTTTTTGTCCCCCCCCCCTTTTTTTTTTCTTGAGACAATGTTTCTTTGTGTAGCCCTGGCTTTCCTGGAACTCGAGCCGTACATCAGGCTGGCCTTGAACTCATAGAAATCTGGCTGCCTCTGCCTTCCCAGTGCTGGGATTAAAAGTGTGTACTGCCACTGGCTAGTTTGTTTTCTTATTTTAACCACAGCTGTGCAAACTGAGGCAGAAAAGAAAGTTCTGGGATTAGGTCAGTTTGACTGAGAACTAAAGAGCTTGGTTTAGCTAAGACTTGATCAAGGTCTTGATGATAAAGGAAGCCAAGACTGATACTGATATTCATTCGGTCTGCAGTATGCGGTGTCTGCTTTTCAGAAATGAAATAGAAGCATCTTGTTGATGTTTTGACTTTTCTGGGGCTCATTCCTCAGGGACTGGTACAGCGGGCGCTAGTCACAGAATCAGCTGTAACACGTAGGATGCTAAGTGTACAAAGACTTCTAAGAAAAAAACTTGATTTAGAGTTTCAGCCCAGGGAATGGACCTCTTAGTCTCCCTGCTAGTGTGCACAGCTGTTAGCTGCAAATTCCGTAACCTCTAGTCTGTATTGGCCTGCCTTTGCCTCCAGAGTGCTGGGACTAAAGAGTAAAGCCACCACTGCCTGCTGACCTTAAATATTTAAGAAGTTGAATCATGTGTGTGTGTGTCTGAGTGGCAGCCAGCATGTGTTGTGGAAGTCAGATAGAAACTTTTGGGAGCTGGTTCTCTCCTTTCACAGTGGGTTCTGGAGTCAGACCCAGCTAGGCAGGCTTTCATGGCAAGCACCTTTTACCCTTTGAGCCATCGCCTTGGCCTAGACCTTGAACTTCTCACCCTCCTGCCTCCACATCCTGAGTGCAGCGATTACATGCTTATGCCCCCATGACTGGTTTATGTGTCACTAGGGATCAAATGGAGGGGCTCTCTAGTTCTCGCTAGCCGAGAACTCTGCCAACCTGAGCTATGTCTCGTTACATTTTGTCAACTCACACACCACTGCCTTCTCTGGACTTTGAGACAACCGTAATCTACTGAAGCACAAGCACAGAAAGCCTTTCCTTCCACTATCAAGGGTCCTAACCTTTTCTTTTCTTCGGTAGTAGTGCCACCATGCTAATATGTCTGGGGCTAGACCCTAGGGCATGGGCTAGGCAGGTCAACCAAGGCAGAAATGAGGACTAAAGATGTGTGGAGTGGGGAGCAGGAGGAGATCAGACAGAGCCGATCTGAAGAGCCAGGGGAATGACCATGAGCTTAGAACCAGGGACCTAGAGAAGCCAAGCTGTGGGGTCCTTAACAGCAGCAGTAGCACAACAGGGACATGGTCAGGCGGAAGTTCTGGAAAATAACTGTTGGTTAGGTGCTTAAGGAGAGAGGATGGAAGTCAGGAGAGACAACGGACGGAGAGGAAAGCGACACCCTGTTGCGGATAGCCACGGGCTGGGCTAGAATCAGGGACAGAGAAGCTGCGAGGTTATTTTTATCTTTACAGTAGAAGATGAAAGCTCGGACACAGAAGTGAGGTCAGAGAGGCAGCGAGGCTTTGCCTTGGGGAATGAGGAGGTCGCTCAGGCGTGGAGGTGGTTAGGCTTTTCTTTGTGGAAACCGAGGCCTGCAAGTGGGGAGTTTGCAGCAGTGGCTTCCGCCACGGTCTTCACTCCTTTCCCCTGGCACTTCCAGCGCCGCCAGCCCTGCCCTGGGCGAGGGGGCAGAGCAGGTGCAGAGGCCGCTGGTTTGCTAGAAACCTCCAAGTCCCAGCCAGAACACACCGGTCGCTCAGCGTGTTTGGCCCCAGTTGGCAACACTGGTGGCCTGGGGCAGAGCAGTACTTCCAGGGAACGCTGGAAACGCTGTTCTCTGTTTGGGGCGGGACAGAGCTTTGGCACTTTCAAGGTCCTGGCGCCTTACCCCGGCCGGGCTCTCTGTGGCTACAGAGGGCTGGGATCAGGGTAGGTCCGCTGTGCCCCGGTGCTCCCGCGTCCTGCGCCCCAGCCGGAGCAGTTTAGAAGTTCCTGGGGACATTCAGCCCCACACAGGGCTGATCACGAACTCTGGAGAGGGTCTCCAGCGCCGCGACCACCTAGGTTTGGCCCAGGGTGCCGGAGCACAAAGGAACGGCAGTCCAGACACGTCCTCTCCGGGCCTCGTGGGCGTGAGCTGTTGTGGACCCGCCTTTAGACCTCGGCGTGGACGGCCACGCGTGGACCAGCGTGGACCAGCGTGAGAGAACCACAGAGGGGCTCACTGCCCCGGCGCACACGGTCCAGCCGGCGCCGGCGCGGGCCAAGAGCCCAAATTAGGTAAGGCGTGGACACGGCTCTGCGCATGTGCGAGAGGCGCCGGAGTTTCACTTTGCAACTTTTAAGTGGTGGGGACGCCGCCCCGCCCTGCCAGGTGCGGGCAGACCACTCCCCGGCGCTCGCCGCGCTGCCGCCACCGCAGGTAAGGGGGGAAGGGGCACCGGGCAGGGGCGCCCCGGAGCGCCTTCCCGGGAGGCTGCCGGGTGCCAATCAAACCCCGCGCCGCTGGCACTTCCTGACAGCCCTTGGCTGCCTCGGCAGACACTCCCCTCTCTGCACCTCCTCCGGCTTTGGAGTTGGTCCGCCGTGTCCGATCTCCGCCGGTAATCCAAGGGGCAGCCTCGGAGCCCTTTCTTATTTAATTCCTTACCGGGCTAGCTCCGGCTAGAGCGGGCATCGGGCAGCCCGGGTGACCACTCCTCCCTCCTTCCTTGGAATCGTCCGGTGAAGGAAACTTGGGGACTTGGGGAAGGGCTGGGCTAGGGTTGGGGGTAGGAGAGGGCGGGAGAGCTGCGGTGGTAAAGAAACCACCTCGGACAACTTACCCAGACCTGATAAGCCTGGCTACCTGAGACCTCGCAAGGGGAGGAGTTGCCGTCTCTCAGCCCCACACAGGACCCAACAGCTGCAGGGACTTTTGCAAATGGCCTGGGAAGGTATTTCTGTCCCGAAGCTCCGCTGGGTGCAGGGGCCTTGCTTGTTGAGGGGATGGCATGGAAGTGAGATGCTGGAGCGCTGAGCATTTTTGAACGTGGGATGATGACGGTCGCTGAGGTTGTGCACCTAGGCAGGAATCCTCAGGCCACGGCGTCTAATTACTGTTTTGAAAAATGATTTATTGATTTTCATGTGAGTATGTATTTTCCCCCTGCATGTATGTCTGTGTGAAGGCGTCGGATTCCCTGGAGCTGGAGTTAACGGACAGTTGTGAGCTGCCTTGTGGGTGCTGGGAATTGAACTTGGGTCCTCTGGAAGAATCCTGGTGCTCTTAACCTCCTATCTATCTATCTATCTATCTATCTATCTATCTATCTATCTATCTATCTATCTATCACCACCCTCCCTCAACTCCCGTAGTGATGGGGTTGGAACAGGCTTGGCTTATTTCGGCCAGCGCTTCGCTCTGAGCCGAATTCCTAGCCCTTAGGGGCTATTTTGACTTCCTCCTCAACCTCAGAGCCTTCTCAGCCTGGCTGCCCCTCGGTGGGTGTGTTCCCGCCTGTTGTGTCAGAGCAGAAAAGGGCGCTGGCTCCTTGGGAGCCTGGGTGGTGTTCTAGCAGCAGCAACTGACTTTTCCTACAGCTGGTGGGTGGGGAGAGGGTGCCCCTGGCTGGAGGAGCAGAGGTCTGGGATTGTGGGTCTCAAAGGTTGTCTTCACTTGGTTCCTCATCTTTTCATTTTTCGAGCCTTCCTTGTTTGCTCTGCTGTTTTTGATTTCCTTGATTCTAGCCCTGGAGTTGGGATGCGGGGGGGGGGGGGGGGGCAAGAGGGGGGGGATGTTGAGGCAGAACAGGCCACCTGGCTGAGGAGGCCCCAGACTGGACGTCTTGCCTTGCCCAGGCTGTCCTATCTGTTGGCTCACCCCTCTTAGTTCTTTCTTTTGTTTTTTTAACCATTCATTTATTTTCATTTTATGTGACTTTGAATCTTTCCTGCCTGTATGTCTGTGTGAGGGTGTTGGAGGCTCTGGAGCCAGAGTCTTACTGTATAGCCCCCCATGACCTAGAACTCACAGAGATCCACCTGCCTGAGCCTCCTGAAAGTTGGGGTTGAATGGGGTTACCACCATACCCACCCTCCCTTAGTCCTTACCAAAGTTAGTTAGTAGATTCTCCTGGGATGCCTGTGTGGTAAGAGAGAAGTGACTGGGCATTTAGGGAAGGAGAGCCACAGGCACCCTCCTGGGGCCGAGGCTTCTGTTTCTCCAGGCCCCTGAAACCGTGGCTTTGGTGAGTCACCCCCCCCCCCCCGCAGCCCTCCCTTCTCTGGGACAATGCTCCCTCTATGAGCATTTATGAGGATGTTTTTCCTTTTCTCTCTCCAAGCCTTCCTTGTTTGCTCTGGGGCGGTCTCCTTTCCCCAATTCTAGCTTTAGGAGGTCTTGGGGGCGCTGCAGCAGCCCTCTGAGACTGTATGAGGACTTGGCTTGGGGTGCCATATCTAGCCCACAGCCACTGTGCTTCTGTCGGGGAGACTCGGCTCTCCTGGCTTTAGCAGGCTTCAATGTACTGGACAAGAGGCGGCAGGCTGGAGCTGCAGGTGCTGCTGGGTAAAGAGAGAGGAGCAGGCAGCACAGATTCGCACTGAGAGGAGGCAGAGGTCTCATTCATTCTAGGAGTTTAGGGAAGAGCCAGGTAGGAAGAAGCTCACTGGGCAAGACCAGAAAACGGGCATACGGACGAGAGACGGTTGGACAGGTCTGAGGGCAGGAGTGGAGAGCAGAGGGTTTCTGCTCTAATTCCTTAACTGGGAGAGGGTGGCACCCCTGTGACTTCTGTGATCCTGGGGCGTCTGTGTTGCTAGAGGACAGTTGTGAAGGTTGGGCTTGCAGGGTCAGGTCAAAATGGACAGCCTAGCAGGAAATGGGAAGCAGCCTACAGGCCTGACTCAGTGAAACTGGGGAGCTGGTGTGTGTGTGTGTGTGTGTGTGTGTGTGTGGCTGATCCAGCTGAGGACTTGTCCAGCAGATGTCCACAGTCCTTCCCCCTACAAACAGTGTCTGCCCAGTGTGGCGACAGTAAGGCCTTGCATCACCAGGCAGGGATGTTTTGAAGTTCTGTCGTCCTGGTGATTTTTTTCTACTTTGGAGCAGTCTTGTGTGGAGATCTCTGTTAGTGCCAGGGTGGCACTGAGCCAGGAGCCATGTCTGTTGGTCTCAAGCTTTCTATGGAGCCAAGGCCGGGCCTGATCCGACCCTCCTGTTTCCTCCTTGAGTGCTGGGGTCACGGGACTCCTGAGACCATCCCTTGCCCCTCTGGGTGAGGCTTAAGGGAGAGAAAGCAGGAACTTCAACTCCAAGGTGGAGAATGACATTCATGACCTCTCCCAGCTACTAACACACGCGTTTCTTCCTGCTGCAAGTTCCTTATAGGAGGAGAGAGGGATCTATTCTCTTAGGCCTGCCTCACTCCCTACCCTTCCCTCACTTCCTGTCATGTGTATTGCCTGTCTGAGTCTGTGTGTGTGTGCATTGCATGTGTGAGTCTGTGCAGGCATGTGTGTGTTTGTGTGTTGCATGTGTGAGTCTGTGAGCGTGTGTGTGTATGTGAGTGCATTGCATGTGTGAGTCTGTGTGGACATGTGTCTGTGTGTGCATTGCATTTGTGAGTATTCACAGCTGTGTGTGTGTGTGTGTGTGTGTGCATGTGCATGCATTGCCTGTGTGAGTCTGTGCAAGCATATGTGTGTTTGTTTATGTGTCAGTGTCAGGGGTCAGAATTGCACCCCACACCCACCGACCTGGAACGCCTCAATAGCACTTTAGGTAGTTCAGTTATCTGCACGCTTCTCCACGCCTCTGTTTCTCGTCCCTAAGACTTCTGCCTCGCTAGCAGGCAGGAGACACAGACTTTGGGGAAGTCCTCTGAGAATTATAATTTAAACAGATTTGGGGAGGTGGGAGCTGTAGGAGGGAGGTGTTTTCTTACGACTCTGCACTCAGAAATGATGTGAAAAGCAGGCCAGGATCTAGACACCGAAGTGCTCAGGCTTCCGTGCCAGGGGGCACACGCTAGAGGTTTCCATTAGATTTGCCAGGGGTTCTGAGCCCTCAGCACCCCACCTGCAGCTGTGCTGGTTTGAAACACTGAGCCTTCTGTTAGAGCGGAGGTGTGAAGGGAAGAGGGTGGTGCTGGGGGCCTGCTTTGCTCTGAGCCTCGCCCAAGGGAGGCCCTAGCCCCTCCTCCAGCTGCCCCTCCAGCTTTTGCCCCTCTCGGGGTGGGGTGGGGGGATGAGCCAGGCTCTAGGAGTCAGAGTTTGAGGTTCAGTCCTGTTGCACCCAGCTTCTGGGTCTGGGAGACCTGTGGCTGTCAAGTTTCTGGAACTTGGATTCCAAGAACATCAAGTCAACTAGTCTGGGAGGTCCTGGCTCTGACATTCCGAGGCTAGCTGGAGAGGGCTCTTATCCTTGGCACTAATGGATGTTCTTGGCCCCTCCCTTCCCTGTTTGCTGGTGTCTGAGGTTTTCTCTTTCCAGCCTTTGTGGTCCTCTCCCCTCACTCCTGCCTGTTTCTGGATGCCCTGAGGACTTTTGCAAGAGTTATTTTCCCAGCTGTACTTGAGGCTAAGGGAACTTCAGCACTTCGGGGCTGCCTGTGACCACCCCTGCCCCTTTGCCTCATTTACCCCTTTTTGGGGGGTCTTCTCATTGTGTCTGACCATCTGGGCCATTTCCACAAATGGAGCTAGTCTTGCAGACCCTACCAGGCACAGAGGTATGGCGCCCAGTTCCCATGATTCTGTGCTTCAGGTGTTGCACTTTGACTTTGGCTGGGAAAACTACAAGTTCACACCCTGATCTTAAACTTTTTTTTTTTTCCACCTTCAAGATAGGGTTTCTCTGTGTAGCCCTGGCTGTCCTGGACTCCCTTTGTAGACCAGGCTGGCCTCAAACTCACAGAGATGCGCCTGTCCCTGCCTCCCTGAGGATCTCATACATCTTGTTCCCTAGGGAGAGAAGGCAAAATGACCAGCTCCCCGTTCCTGGATCCCTGGCCCTCCAAGGCCGTGGCCATCCGTGAGAGCCTGGGCCTTGGGGACCATCCCAATGACTCCTACTGCTACAACTCCGCGAAAAACAGCACTGTGCTCCAGGGGGTGACCTTTGGGGGCGTCCCCACCGTCCTGCTCATAGACGTCAGCTGCTTTCTGGTAAGAACCCTCTCAGTTGTGGGTCTAGTCCCCCTTGTTCTCTAGGGCCTTCTAGGGAACTCACGTGCACGTACACACACCCGGGTGTGTTCTGTGACCCTGTGCCTGCAGCAGGCCTTAAATGTAATGACCCCTTCCTCGGAGGATCTGGGGATTGAGTAGGGCCCTGCGAATCGGTGTGGCTGTGATCCAGATTTCACAGCCGATAGCCAGTCCTGTCTTGTCTTACCGCAGGGTGGGCGGCCTGAGATGTGAATGGAGGGTATGGACCAGGCTTAGAGCAGGTGCAGTTTCTAGTTGCGTGAGTGGCACTTCTTGTTACCCTGGGATGCCTGGCGCTTTTGGGCACCAGAAGTAGATTCCTAGAGCTCATCTTAGAGGACACGTGTGCCATTCTTTAATGTCAACCTTCTGTTCACAAATACCTTCCAATTTGAAACAGGTGTTACTATCTTTTCAGTGACTCAACAACAGTTGAGAATGTGTGTGTGTGTTTTGTTGTGTTTTGCTTTAGGGATGGCACTCAAGGGCCTTGTGCACACTCCATAGGCACTTTCCTCCTGAACCGCATCCCCGAGGGACTATTTTAGCTATATTAGAGTTCATGTGCACTGTCTTTTCACAAATACCCCAGAGCAGTGGCTCCCTGGACGCTAGCTTCTAAGAGCAGAGACCCTGGGGTAGACGGGAAGGGAGTTCATATCTGAGGTCTGCCTGGGGCAGCTGGCGAGGTCAGTGGGGACGCTAGGGTGAGAGGGGAGGTAGTCAGAGGGCCAGCCAGGAGCAGAGGGTCCCACACCCAGGTCTCCTGACCCTAAGCTTGACCACAGAAGGTCAGTTCTTCCTAACTTTGTTTCCTAGGACCAAGGTCTACTGTGTTGCCCTCGGGCTTTACTGTGTTGCTCCTCAGGGCTGAGGTGGAAACTGCCTGTTAACACCTTGGCTGTCAGGAAAAAGGGATCCCTACTTCCAGTGAGCGTTCCATTTGCAGCACTGGCCTATTGACTGGAGAAAAACAATTTTCCACGGAGGGAGGGGCAGGCAGGGTGTGGCAGTGTGCTGAGAGGGGGTGGGGCTACTAAGTCTTCCGGACCGGGAGAATAGCTGCTTATGAAGAAGTCCTTTCATCTAGATTCTGCTGGTAGAGGTGGGTTTTTTTTGGTTTTTTGGTTTTGTTTTTTTCCATGAGAGACAGGGTCTTACTATGTTGCTGAAGCTGACCTCTGAGCTCCTGGCTTCAGGCAGTCCTCCTGCCTCAGCTACTAAAGAGGTGGGTGACAGGCTTATACAGCCCTGTTGGATTTCATGGGGGTGGATTTTGAAAGATTATCATTACCCTGGAGAGCGAGTCCAGGACTTCACATGTGTTAAGCATACTGTGCCAAACCCCTGAGTGCAGATTTTTTTTTCCTTTCTCTCTCTTTGAGACAGTGTTTCTCTGTATAGCCTTGGCCATCCTGGAACTCGATTTGTAGATCAGGATGTCCTCGAAAGATCCTCCTGCCTCTGCCTCTGCCTCCCGAGTGCTGGGATTACCACCACTACCTGGCCCGAGTGTATTTTTATTGCAGGAATTTGTAGGGTAAGGTGGGGGGGCATGTGTGTGCCAGAGGTATGGGGGAGCTGTGCGCGTGTGCACAGAGGCAAGGCAGCAATGACAGAGGATAACAGGATGCTGAGGGGGTTGTGTTTGTCCGAGAGTGACTTGCCTGCCTTTGAAACACATCATACTCCCTGAGTCACCTTAAGAAAATCCTGCAGAAACTCAGAGCTTATGGATTTCCCTTAAGGAAACAACATTCATCCTTGAACCCCCAGTTGCTAGGCTGGGGCTATGCTCAACGGCAGAGTACCTACCTGGCACACCTAAGGTGCTGGGTTCCATCCCCAGCGCCAAATAAACACAGACATAAATAACTCCGGTTTATGGCCAGAGCAGGTAAGCCTGTGTTGTTTGAGATGCCCCTTTCCCTCTCTCTGAATCTCGAAGGAGCTGTCTAGATTGCAGAGGGAGCTGGCCAAGGTGGAGGGAAAGGGTCCGAGGAACAGGTGAGCATCTCAGACATCTGGAGCTAACGGGCAGACAGGGGTCTCCCTCTGCACATGGGGCTGTGGGTGTCACAGAGGCCTGCTCATCTGTCCCAGCCTAGAGTGCCAGGGCGTGACGGGTTCCCTGGACGCACTTGCTGTGTGGGGGTCCACAGGCTTGCCTTGAGGACAAACAGATGTGAAGCATCTGTAATGTAATTCTCAAAAATCAAGCCGGGTGCACATCCGTGGTCCCAGCTACTATAGGCTGAGGCTGGAGGATCACCTTAGCTCAGCAGTTAGAGGCACGCCTGGGCAATCTAGTGAGGGCTTATCTCCTTTCGGAGTGAAGTAAAGAGGGGAGCGGCTTTTCCACTCTTGTGAGGCCAGACCTCACTTTCTGGCTAGGAAGACTCCAGCCAAGCCTGCAGCAGCATGACAACTCTGGGGACACTGGGCGCAGGTGGTGGGAGCTGTCGAATGAGTGGAGGAAGGCGCCAGGCTGTTGACCTGTGTGCTCTTTCTGGACTGGATGGGGTCCTCTAACGTGCCCAGTCTGGCTGCCCTCAGTGCCCAGCCAGTATACCTGACTCGTTTCTTTTTTTTCTCTCTTTTCAGTTTTTAATCCTGGTGTTTTCCATCATAAGGAGAAGATTCTGGGACTATGGCCGCATAGCCCTGGTATCAGAAACAGGCAGGTAAATAAAACAGGACAGAACATTTTACCTAGAATGGGGGTGTGTCTGTGCATCCCTCTGAGTGTGAGTGTTGTGGATGGATACGTGTGCACGGATGTGTGTGCACTGTGCATATATGTGTGTTTGTAGATGCATGTATGCTTACATGTGTGGGCATGTATGTTTATGTATGTATGTGTATTTCTGGGGTGGGCTGGAGCCAGGCCTATTACAGGAACTGCATCTTCCTTTCTGTTGGTCACTAAAGACCCCTTTGAGGCCTTGTTGCTTGGAACTATGCTCATAGGGAATCAAGGTCTGGAGAGCCGCTCTCTCCTGGGCTCTGGTTTTAGGCTTTGGAGGATCATTACTTTCAGGGTTTTCGTCTCCAGGGCCAGAGGCTGCTATTTTCTTGCTCACCTTGGACAGGTCTCTCTGAGAATATCATATTTGAAGTTAGTTAACTTGTGCCAGCGCTGGCTTAGCAGTCAAGAAGGAAGGCAGGTGTGGAGAAGCTACCCGCCTCCCTTCCTGGTCAGGGCTCAAGTTGGACAAGCCTCTTAACAAAACACAGGCTCTCTGGACAGACCTCAGGCCTCCCTTCACGGGGTAGGGACAGTTCTGTGCACTTCTCTAAAGGTTAAGATGAGTCCTAGGACCAGACTTTCCTGTTCTGTCTGGCTGCTGTGACCCTCTGAAGCTTGCGTCAGATGAGGCACCATGACGTGAAGGGGAAATGTCAGGAGCCCCACTCCCAGGCCTGTTGCTGGGGCTCACGTCATGGCCTCAGCTTCTGAAATGTGCAGTGGTGCTTCCCTACCCCCAGAGGATCCCTTCAGCAGTTCCTGCTCCGCACGGAGCATGGAGAGGCTGCAGGAAGTAACGTGGGTGGGAATGGCTTCTTTCTGACTGTTAGGGATCTGTCCGTTCACACTTGGACTATTTTGCTATTCTCCCCTTCACGACAAGGGGTCTTGGAGGACATTTTGAAACAAATATGTTTGGGTCTGAGATGGGGCGAGGGGTGGGGTGAGCAGCTCCAGAGCCAGCTTCTCAGGAGCTCAGGCAGCCCCTCACAGTTTGCTAACGTAATATCTGACACACCTTGGCCACAGCACAGAGCTCCAGGTTTAGTGAGAGACTCTCTTAAAATGTAGGATGAAGAGAGATGAAGTGTTGGCCCCTGGTTTCCACATGAGTGTGTGTGTGTATGTCTGTACCTGAGTGCAAACACATGAAGACACACACACACACACACACACACACACATCACAGTATTTAACATGTCAGTTCATTCACTCTGAAGCACACACTTCAGCATTTTCTCACCTTTGGAATAGGAATGTCTCTTTTCATTTACTTACTTACCTTTTGAGACAATGTCTCCTATGCCTTGGTCCCCGAGGCTGGCCTTCTTTGAGCTTGGATCCTCTTGCTTCAGCCTTCATGTGGCTACTGGGATATTACAGAAGTGTTCCAGCACCCCAACACAGGAGAGTTATCAGTTATAGCTTAATCGGCACCATTGTTTCTTTCTTACTGATTCATTAAAATTATGCATCTGATTACCATTGGTGTCTTAAATAAAATACAGTGTGTATGCTTGTACATGTGTCTTTTTTTTTTTTTTTTTTTACAATTTTTATTTTATGTGTATGGCTGTTTTGCATGCATGCATGACTGTTCACCACGTGTGTGCTTGGTGTCTGCAGAGGTCACGAGATGTCTACCAGAAGGTGTTGGATGCTCTGGAATTGGAGTGACAGATGGTTGTGAGCTACCATGTGGGTACATGGGAACTGAACCTGGATCTTCTGGAAGAACAGCCAGTGCTCTTAACCACTGAGCCATCTCTCCAGCCTCATATGTTTGTGTTTTGAAGTGAACCCATTCCAGTGAGGAGGCCTCACCAGCATTCTTACTTTTCCTTAACTACTTCCTGGGTGCAGGGGTAATTTTTTCACCTGCTACCTCATGGTTCCTGAGTCCACTCTTTCTCAGGCATGAAGCCCCTAGTACCTGTTATTCCGGTCACTATGGTAGGATAAGACGCAGCATTACAAACTGATTTGAATGTGTTAGGCAATGTACTGTAAAGAGGCCTCACCCTTAGGTGGACCAGTTCAGTGCTGAGGTTGGAGGATGTGCACATAGGTCTGGTCCCTTGATGCCTTGGCCCTGTGCGCAGCCCATACAACGCAAAGTTTTATGTCATCTGGATTTGTAGGCATTGCCTCCATCTCTGTTATTTTGGAGCAGATTATATTTGCTGCAACTGCTGATCCTGAATTCTAGGAATAGAAAGCAAAATATTGGACATGTATATCCAACCTTTTTGAATTTTAGAGTAATTTATCTTTTTCTTTTTTTCTCCTTTTGTGTCTCCAGTGAGGCGAGATTCCAGAGATCGTCGTCTTCCTCCTCAGGGCAACAGGATTTTGAAAATGAGCTGGTTGGTGTCCAAGGGATGGTTATTTTTGTGGCTGGAAGGGCAGAGGGTACGGCTCGGCAGTAATGATTGATGCAGGTCCGGGTCGTTGAACTCCTGGTTTAGTGACTAAAGCGCCGAGGTCTGTGAGTGGTCAATTCTGGGGGAAGCTCCCCTCCATATGAGCAGAAACGTGAGGACTCGGAAGAATCCGGATGGAGAAAGCAGTTAGATGATCCCTCACTGCCAGGCTCCATCAGCTTTGCGGGCAGAAGAGGCTGGGGATACCTGGGTTTTGCCAGCAGCTTGTCTGTGGCTCATGAGTTACTCCTCTCTCACACTTATGGCTCTTGTGTAAAAGTTAATTATTGACTTGTCTGCTAGATTTTGAGCCAAATGTGGGCAGGAACCTCACACAGGCTTGTTTCAGCACTTGATTATCTGGTGGGCAGTTAGTCACTGTCGAATGATTGGTGAACAAATATTTGTCTTTCCCAGCCGGGAACAGCCTAGCTTTATGGAGCAGATATCATAGAGTAGGGATCATAGAACCTCTCTAAGGCCTGCTCCGGGGTACTTCCCATTTCATTAGGCTTGTTTTTCTGCTTTGTTTTTTTTTTTTTGTCCCACTTTTCTTGCCATTTGGAAATAATTTCACAGAAGTACTCATCACTTTTCCCAGCTCTTGTCTGGAGATTTGTGACCTGAGCCTGGAGCTTATGTCATGCCACTGACTGGCAAAACTTGAGCGGTTTTAGCAAGCCTTCCAGGCACGGGGTTGTGTTTTTGTTTTTGTCATTCTTGTTTTGTTATTTTGTTATTTCTCCCCCACCCCCACCATGGGATTGTGTCTTGAAAAGAATGAGAGCATAAGGAAGGAAAGTCCTGTTTTACATGGCCAGAAGTTGAATGGTGATTTAATATTAAAGATTCGATTGTATCTGCCTCCCAAAGACACAGGTGTTGGATGCTGACACCTGTTTTCCCTCTGCAGGGATGCTGCCCTTGGCTGACGGCCATCTTCCGCCTGCAGTAAGTAGGATGGGGTATCTGCCGGGGCATGGGGTTTTGTGTGGGTGCTGGGCCGTTCGGGAGGAAGTAGCTGAGATGTTTGATCCTCAGGTGGTGTGTCTCATACTTTTCCAGTTCAGGACCCAAACAGTGCATAGGGGCTAGAGCAAAACTGGCAGGGAAGTCCTTGTGGTCAGGGCACAGGGACGAGGGAGGTCTTTAGGGTACACAAGCCTTGCTGGGGTTCAGGGGTCCCCAAACTGCAGTTGAATTTCAAAAGTTCTTGAATCTGGTGATTCAAATGAACCAAATGAAGTGGCTGTATGAATATGGAGTGGAACCCAGGGCTTCAGGCATAGTACACAAGTGATCTACTTTTGAGCTATAGCTCCAGCCCTTAGCTAAATATATTTTATTTCCCCTCCTCTGTTTTTTATTTTTGGATTTTTTCGAGAAGGGTTTCTCTGTGTAACCCTGGCTGTCCTGGAACTCTGTCTGTAGACCAGGCTGGTCTCAAACTCAGAGATCGGCTGTCTCCGCCTCTCTAGTGCTGGGATTAAAGGTGTGAGCCACCTGGCCTATTTCCCCACTTACTTATTCCCATACATATAAACCTGTCTAGCAGGGTTCCTACCCATATATAATCAATGTTAAATATCAAGTAGAATGATTCCCACCTGAAGAAAAACAAAACAAACTCCCCTCTAAATCAAAGCAGCAAAACTTTAATTAGGTTACATAATTTAAAAGAAAAGGACATCATAGAATTGATGAAATACGTTGGTTTGCGGATATTAAGTTCCTCTCTCAGGGCCTCGGTTTTCCTACCTGAGTTTGAGCGGCCGTTTGGCGGGAGTTGTACCTGAGGTTGCTGGCAGGAGGCAGGGTCGCAGGGAGAAGTCAGTGGACTCCTGAAGCAAGGGGAAGCAGGCGGGCGTGTGCATGGCTTGCTTGGAGGTTCGAAGGTGTTAGTTGCAAAGCTCATTCTGGAATGAAACACTGAGCAGGTGTGATATTCACTGGCTTTTCTGTGAGCATCATGGGGGTTGGATGTGCTTTACCCTGATTGCATCCTTGAGCTCTGCCAGGTGGATGAGGTGGGAAAGGGGCAGTTTCTGAGTTTTAGCTTCTAACTTTTCTGAGCCCACTCAGGTGTGACTGTGCGAATCTGCAGTAAGGGGCCTGTGCTGGGCGTGTGCTGGGCGTGTGCGGGGCCTGTGCTGGGCTGTGTAAACTCACCTTTTTCATGCTTCCAGGCTTCTCTGGCTTTATCACACAGGGCTTGCCTGGTCTCTGCAGCAGGGACCTCGGAAGCCCTCTGTGCAGAACAGGAAAAAGCAGGCGGAGCACCTGATCCTCCTCTTGCTATGGCAAAGAAATCTGGCTGTTGTAAGCCTGGAATTTTCCTGAATCCTTGGTGGGTAGAAGGCAGGTCAGGTTACTTCTGCATCTCTCGAGGCCACGACAGGGACAGAGGGAAGGAACTGGGTGGAATGAGACAGAGAACGTTCAAAACATGGCTCACCTTGTTCTCCCGGCCCACCCCGGGGTTGGAAGAAGGGAGATGGAGTGAGAAGGAGGACCCAGGCACACTGCATTGCATTCCCAAAGTAGCTTTCAGAGGCCGCCTTGCTGTGGAAGAAGCAAGTAGGAATTGTGGGAAAGTTGTATCCACATGCCTCATCCGTCCATTATATGATGGGGTCACAGACGTCTCTAGCAAACACAGAGGATGCTGATTCATTTGCTGAGAGCATGGTGCTGGGACTGGAGATGGTACAGGAACTCATGTCAGGAGCTTTGCCTTTATGAGTTGTGCGGTCCTTAAAGCTATACAGTTCTGTGCTTTTGTATCCACACATCTCGAAGTAAAGGATGTGGGAAAAAACAGCATCTCCTACAATTGTCACGAGAACCTGAGGAATACTTCAAGAAAGCCTTGCAGGCCTGGCGTTCTACCATGCCCTGTTTAGAGTGTCTGTGTGTATGTGTCTTGGCCAGAAATGACCAGATCCTGGAGTGGTGTGGGGAGGACGCCACCCACTACTTGTCCTTCCAGAGGCACATCATTTGCCTGCTGGTGGTGATCAGCTTCCTGTCCCTGTGTGTCATCTTGCCTGTCAACCTCTCAGGAGACCTGCTGGGTGAGACCCTTTCTTGGCTATTTGTCTGTGCTGGGATGGGGCAGGGTATTGGCTCCAGGGAAGGGACTCAACTTGATAGAGTAGATTCTGGGGGATGTGAGACAGTCTTAAGGTGACATTAGGAAAATTATCATCCAAATAAAGATCTAGAGGAGAACCCACCCCAATCTGGGCTGGGAGCTGGGACCCCTTAAATATCAACTTTTGGTTTTCTTTAAGCAGGGAAAAATAGACAATTCAACCAACCACATAAGGGCTAGAGGATTGGGCAGGTTTCAGCAAGGGTGTTTTTGCTTGTTTTTTTGAGACAGTATCTTACTGTATAGTCCAGGCTAGCCACCATCCATAGCTTCAGGATGTATCTTTCAATTTCCTGTTCTTACCCGAGCCCAGAGGCCACTATTTATGGACCCAAGAGATATCTGTGAGACTGAGTCCAAGTCATTGTGGCGTTATGTCTCCCTAGATTCCAAAATGCCACTGCAGATCCACTTGTGACATCCAGTGGTTCTCGACCAAGGATGCTTCTAGTTATGAAAGCATCTTTAAAATAAACCTCAGTGCCAGATGAACTTACATTCTGACATGGTGAGCTGTAGCAGGGGTCCTGGTTGATGGAGCTTTAGACAGGTTGATGAAGACGTCACTGTCTTCCAGCTGCTCTAGGCGTTTGTGCTGTGTCCTCCCCTGAGCTACAGAACTGTAGAAGCCAAGGCCAGTCAGGCCCCTTGCTGGTTTTTCGCTGTGACTGTAGAGCTAAGCGTCTGCTTCTCTGCAGATAAAGACCCTTACAGCTTTGGGAGGACGACGATCGCAAACCTGCAGACGGAGTGAGTATGGACCTTGGTGGCCGAAAAGGAGGCCAGAAACACCTCATAGCTGCTGTGTTGCTGGGCTGTGGGGTGAACATGCCCCGGGAAGCTTCTCTTTTTTGGGAGGCTCAGAGCTCCATGTCAGGAGTGGGAAGCTGTGGTGTGAACCCATCTCAGGACACTTCAGTTTTGTAGGAGGCTGAGAGCCCCGTGTAAGAATTGGGATTTCTCTAAAGTGTTTCCCGGCTGTCAAGGGGACAGTGACCATGTGGCTTCTGTTGGGGGCAGAGCCATTGGCTCTCAGCAAATCCCCATGGAGGCGATTCAGCCCTAGCCCTGCTACCCACGCCTTCTGTTGGGGTGCCCAGAACTGATGGCAGGTGGTGTCTTCCTTAGCAATGACCTCCTTTGGCTGCACACTGTCTTCTCCGTCATCTACCTATTTCTCACCGTGGGCTTTATGTGGCATCACACACGGTCTATCAGATACAAAGAGGAGAGCCTGGTGAGTGAGGCTGGGGCCTGGGCATGTTCTGGGAGGGTCTGAAGTGAGGGATGAAGGGCACAGGCCCCACGGCCTCCGCAGAACCACATCAATAGTGGACTTGAGGGGGGCAGTGCTGGGACCTGATTTCTGTGCTTACCTGGCATCACCACCATCACCACCACCACCACCACTATCATTTATCAATATTTTAAGACAGGGTCTCGTATAGCCCAGACTGATCTGAGCTAGCTATGTAGCCAAAGATGACCTTGCGCTCATGTTCATCTTGCACTCACGTCGCAAGTGTTAGGATCACAGGCGTGACAAACATGCTCAACTTAGCAGTGGTATCATCATCATTCACTTTTTTGGTCAAGTGTAACCTTCGTTTTTGTCAGTTGCTATTTGATCTGTGGGCTCGGTGCTTGTCGCGGCCGAGGTAAAGCAGCCCACTGAGGACGGATGTGAGCCCGTGGTGGAGTGCGTGCCTGGCTGGTGCCGGGTGCTGGCCTTGATAACTGAGCCAAACACAACGTGAAGCACACCACCTGTTCTGGTTTGCATTCTGTTCCTGGGGTAAAGACCATGGCCCAGAGCAACTTGGAGGAGGGAAAGAGTTTATTTCAGCTTACACCTGTCACCGTGGGAAGTCTTGGCAGGAGCCGAAACAGGAACCGTGGAAAATGCCGCTTACTGGATCACACCTGGGCTTATGGCCTTCCAGCTTTCTTATATTTGTTTATGTATTTATTTTGGCCATTTGGGACAGGGTTTCTGTGTGTAGCCCTGGCTGTCATGGAACTCGTATGCAGACCAGGCTAGCTTGGGTCCCAGAGATCTGCCTGCCCCTGCCTCCCAAGTGACGGCATTGGAGGTGTGAGCCATTGCTTGGCTTCTTCTAGCTTTCTTATACAGTCCAGGATCACCTGTCTAGGAATGGTACCCCACAATGGGCTGGGACATCAATCATCTGTCATGACAGTCCCTCACAGATAAGGCCATAGACCAATATGATCAAGGTGATTCCTCAATTGAGGTTCCCTTTTCCCAGACACCTCTAGGTTGTGTCAAATTGACGAACAAAAACAATACACACAGACACATACACACACACACACACACACACACACACACACACACACGAACAAAACAACTCCCCCCACCTCAAACTAACCACCATCCCCTCTCCCAAGCCAAAACAGTTTGGGCTAAGGACAGGTGTCCCTCTGTGACACCTGGCTTTAACTGTTTTGCTTTGATGTGTGCCTCCTTTGAGCCACTGTCACACTCTGCTCTGCAAAGGAGGCTCATGAGTCACTTTGGAAAAGGATGCAATATAAATAACACCCTGGGCCTCCTCAAGGCCAACAATGGGAAAATTTGAAGCTCTCATCGACCATGATTTTCTTTCTTTCGATGTGAAAGAGGTGACACCCGTACCCTCATCACCCTGTGGCCTGACTCTCTGACTTTCTCCTGGGATGTTCCCTGGCAGGTGAGACAGACCCTGTTTGTCACAGGACTGCCCAGAGAAGCCAGAAAGGAGACTGTGGAGAGCCACTTCCGGTAAGAGAGAGACCCCGTGAGCCACTGATGGTGAACGGGGCTGTGAAGGGCCTGTGCCGGCCATAGCTGGATACCTGCTTCTTCTGTATGAATATTCAGGGATGACTCCTCCCTGCCCCGTATCAAATGGCTTCTGTACACCAGAGCTTTAGACAGGTTGAGAAAGCCAGTGGCTTGGCTGGGACCATGTGTCTGCTGCAGCACTTGTGATTAAACCCTCAGGACCCAGGATCCAGAAGGCAGGCTGGACTGAAGCACACAAAAATATTGGTGCTCTGTGAGAGCAGAGCTTTCACGCAGAGCTGGTCTCCCAGGCGCAAGTTTTGTATATGGTGCAGGGGCATACGGCCCTGTCTGTTATGAGCGCCTCTGGCCATCAAGGGCTCTGGAACAGCTGCTGCAGCCACAGCTCCCGCAGGCAGAGCGGGCGATGCAGGCAGAGCGGGCGATGGTGTGTATAGTTGCAAGCAGGAAAAGGCTCATGTTCAAGGCCCAGCAACAAGAGCAGCTCCAAGGCTGGCGTCTCTCTTCATCCCCTGTTAGTTCTGCCATCACTGGCAACCAGCAAACACCAGGAGCTAGCTACACATTAACTCTGGTGCAGTTTGTGAAGAAAACACTGGGTGAATAATTTGTATAAACAGAACTGTAAGAGTCTCTTTAAAATTATTGACAGACGTCTCCTTCAGCAACTATGACTGTTTGGGAAACATTCACATATTTATTTATTTATGTGGATGTAAGTGAATATATTTGCATACTCACCTGATAACGGAATGATTTTTTTGTTTGTATGTTTCTTGAAAATTTCCCTCTAAGTTACCTGCCTGCCAGGCAAGTTTTGGAAAGAGTGTGTCCACTTTGCACACACACTTAAATAGAAAAACAAGTGTCCTCATTGCCATGCAGACATTGTGTGGCTCAGACTTTCCTGGTTCAGGAGGCCTTCCTGGGGAGGGCAGTTGCGGCGTGCCACAACAGACTCATGGATTTGCTCTGCAGCACAGTCACTTTCATCGCCAATCTTTCTCAAAGCTTTTTTTTTTTTTTTGTCCTTCATCTTTTTGTGGTTCTGATTATTAAATCTTACCAGATAAAGGCTCTACCACTGAGCCACACCCCCAGCCTCCTCTGAGCTCTCACTGGGGTCTGAACTAGTCCTCCTGAACAATAAACTAGCCGGCTCTTCCCTGGGCTTGTTTTCTCACACACACTAAAATCCAAGCTTGAGCAGCTCCATTCCCAGCACCCAGAACAGCAGCAGGTGGTGCCTGATACACGGTGCCTGATCTGAGCCTGTCCTCAGGAGTCATGCGGCCGCTGTTTTGAATAGGGGGGGGGGGGGGGGGGGCATTTTATGACGTTGGAGCTAGGCTGCCTGGATTCAGCTTCTGGCTCAAATATCCAATGGCTGTGTGACTCAGCATACAAGAAGCCCTTATTCCTGTTGAGGCAGGTATTTGACTGACTGTTAATATGTGTGTGGACAGTTTCTGCCCATTCTCTACTGTTAGTAGACCCTCTAGAGGTCACTTGTCTTCAAGCAGGTTTTGGTGCTGAGTAGGATTTTGGCGAGAGCTTGAAGTAGGTATTTCCCTAGAACAGATGGTCAGTCCCCTCCTCTGAGTGGCTCAGGAGGATAATGTTGCATTCTTTCCTTTTGGTTCTGGGGATGGGATCTGGGACCTTGCATATGCTAAGCCCTCTACCACTGAGCCATACTTCAATTCTGTTGTGTTCATATTTCCCCACGAGAAAGTCCCACTAACTAAAAGCCGAGTGAGTATAGACTTGTCAGTTTAAGGAAATTTTTTTTCTTTCTTTCTTTCTTTCTTTCTTTCTTTCTTTCTTTCTTTCTTTCTTTCTTTCTTTCTTTCTTTCTTTCTT